ATTATCTCATAGGGTAAAAAGCTAGTTCAACGACTCTGATTCACCCTGTGTATATATGTTAGCGATATTGTGCTATATTCGTTAATGCACCGTAAAATCGAGACCTCGAGGCGTGTTCCCTCGCAAAACTGTCTCGACCCTGTTGCAAAAATATCGACAACATTTTTCACTTCCGATCTATTTTTTATATGGAATAGTGTTGCATCGGATAACAAATTGCGACAACGTTGCAAATTGTTACATTGGGAAAGTGTCATACATGATACAGACTTTACAAATGATAATTATTAAGCGATATTATTATTAAGCTTAAGATTACTACCGTGTTATACCGACTTTGTAACTAACAATAAGAGAGCTAACTCTAAAGCCTTGTAAAAAACAATCAGTGTTAAATTAACGTTTGTGAAAATGTTACGCTATCTCTACCACTGATTTTTACCAAGCGTCATGGAGGACGTGTTAATTGTATTACTATTAGCGGCCAGAAGAAGCAATAGAGACATAATAACATTTTAATGCGATTTCTGTGTCAAAATGGAATTCTAACGAGACATTTTTCAGTTTACAGTTTCGTGATCTTTACAGAACAATATGCTGATTTTTCATTAAAAACCGTGCTGTTTTCCTGTACGAAAACGGCTCACAGTTGTACGCAGTCAGTTCATTTCAATTCAGTGTAAACATATCCATCTTAATTTCCGTGTAAATGTATCTACAATTGTCTCGCGCCAAAAGCACTGCAGGATATTCGCAAGTGGATTAATTTCTTAAGAGTGTAGATTGATTAGTATTCACCGATGGGTTACGTTATAGAAATAGAACTGGAAATAGTTTTTCATTTATGTTTTGCTTTTTTCTTAAATAATTGCGGCTAATTTAAATATTTTGAGTTTAATGACGTGAAATAAATTCAGTACGTCTATTTTGATGGTCGAACGCAGTTTTTATAAAACTATTTTTTGTGTGTATTGGTTGACTGCGTAAAATTAAAAAAGATTTGATCGGTGAAAAGTACGCGCACAAATTTATTTCAGAAATTCAGTCGAAATTGCATCCAACACAGAAAACAATGGCATAATGATGGTTTTGCGTGTTAATTTGCAACTCAATGTAACACATTTAACTATTATTTTCAAATTGACGTGCAAAAACTCGTAATTCCTTAATTATTTTCCATTTTCACCTCAACTGATTTCCAATGAAGCAACTATATATACACGTGTTTTTATGGCGTAAGAGTTTTTACAATTTTGCGCCACACTAGGATAAATCTAGCAATATTATAGAATTATTCGATTGAGCAAACGGGTCTCAGCTTTTCTTAATTTAATGAAATTTAAATTATTTAAAAAATGCGAAGTTTGTACATTCAGAAGATATTAGATTCAATATTTTACAAATACGTTTATAAAATAATTATACTTAGAAAATTCTTGTTAATATTCGCAAGATAAAATGTATTAATTATTATGATTATGATTAAAAACTTAAAAATTTTATGTGCGTTTGTTGTAATGAAAATAAGATGTTTCATCCTTTAAGAATTATTTAACATAATGAATTATATAAAAAAAAAGGAATTTTTAGTTAATAATGCAAAAAAATATTTTTTTTCCATTTAAATATATCTCCTTATTCTTAATATTATAATAAATATATATTATTACTTTATTAAATATATTTTTCAAATTATCGAATTATTTTATCATGATATGAAATTACCATCATTTTTTAAGTTAGTGTTTATAAAGACTTTATGTAAAAGAATAATAAATAATGTCACTTTGCCTCGGGGTTGACCCGAGGTGAGTCACTTAATTTCCTTATAAAGAGTAATTGTGATGTCTGTTCTCTTTTGTACAATGCTGTTTAGATTGTACAGGCGGACATATATTATATTATATTTTCTGCTATATGTTGCAAAAGCGACCGCATAATAACGCTTGCATAATGTATCTATAATAATTATGGGACAAATTCGAGTGACCGTAATAAAATTGTGAACGCAAACGAACGAGGTATAATAAAACGTATATTCGAGATGACTTCAGTATTTTAGCTTGGTTTAACCGACGTTGAGGAAAAGTTTGTAGCTGAAATTAGTGCGAAAGATGCACGTTACGCGGAAATTCAAGGAAATTACAGTTGCTTACAACCGCATAAGTTTCAAAAGTGCCAGGATACACGCGAGTAATAAATCATAATTAACGAATTTCGCAACCGAGAAAAATTTTCACTCGTGTAATCTATGAAGAATGTCAAAGGTTTGATCTCGTTTCATGTGAATTTGTTAAGATCTAGTTCATGATGAAAACGAACATTATTTATTTACATGTTTGATGCATGAAATTCATATGTCACGAAATGTCACGGAATATTTCTCTAAAAAAATTCCCCCATTTTTTATATCTTGTTCTTAATATTATATACAATTTATACATTAAAATAAAATTATTAACAGCAAAGTTATGTAGATAACATTATGGGATTCTAGTATATCATTAACATAAAAATATAATAGAAGAAGGGAGCACGCTTATGTTATTTGTAAAAATAAATCCGTTGTTACTTGATTAGATATATTGTGAGAGTGAGTTTTTAAACTGACATCAAACTTTTTCAAATATGTCTAATTCCCGGTACGAGGGCATCACGTTATTTTATCTATGTCACTCGGGGCTGACGCATCGTAGTTGCGAAGTGGTACGCGTAAGCTTAACGTCGCAATTTAACGTGCCGCATTTCGCAGAGAAGTACATAGCAATCCCACAGCCGGTACTTTTAACGAAGTCGGCGAGTAATTAATCGAAAAACACGGTGTAATTACGGTTATGTCAAGAGACGCAATCGTTGAAATTGCGTTTATAAAGAAATGTATGATTCTTTTATCACGGCTGCGTTATATTTATCAAAATGACAAATCCAATTAAATATGCTAGAAAAATTTGTTTTTCGTTTTATATTATTTTATGCAATATTTATTTAAAGAATTACGCTTTAAAAGTCTCTTTGATCTTTTTTCAAAATATCAATTTCTTTTTATTGCTTCTATTGAATTATATTACGCATAAAATATAATATAATAATACAAATATTAAATTATTGATTTATTTTATCTTAAAAGTTGTTTCTAATATCACAATTGAAAGCATATTTTATATAACTCAATAAAATATAAGAGAAAGAGAGCCTGTATGCGTAAAGCAGAAGTTGAAATGATAAAAAATACTTTCGTGCTAAAAGTCGAAACATAGAGAATTTGGATCATGTAGCTTTCAAATTAACTATATCTATGAAGTTGTATGATTTCGCGTTCCCAGATACGCAGGAAAAAGTTAATGCAACTTTCACAGAAGGTTAATTCGAATTAGTCTTTTTACGAGAAACTAACTCATTTTACCAGGCTACAATTTACTTTATATAACTAATAAACCCGACATTATTAATTATATGAAGAATTTAAATAGTTAAACATTTAAAATATATCAAACAAAAAACGACTCCACTCCGATAATCTTAATTTTGACCACATATTATCAATATATATATTTATCAGTATATTTATTAAAGTATATTTCATTTCATTTATATGCACTAATTACCGCGTAAACTCTTGCTTCCTCTTAGATCATCTTTAATTTGTTACATATTAATAAGGTCATGATCCTAAGTAACTTCCGAGAAGTTTTACCTGTCAATCGTTATTCGTGAAAAAGTTATTAATAAAACAAGTTTAATAAATAACATCTTATTTCTGCTACATACAATGTTAAAAACTATTCTAAATTTGCCCCCCTTAATGATAATGACTTTCCACACGAAAGGAAGTCCACTCCACCTCCCCCCGACCCACAAGAATCTGACTTTTCACGTGAAGCGAGGTCCACTCCACTTCCCCTCATGCCTAAAGATTCACGACTTTCTACGCGAAGTGACGTCCACTCCAAACCTAAATATGTTTTGGGTTTGATTATTCTTTGGACCTTACTTCGTGTAGAAAATCGTGCGCCCCTAGACAGGGAGAGAAGTCAAATTGACTCGAGCGGCGCGCTTACCAGGCCATCCCCATTTCCCGCGGCCCGAGCGATCGATGCGTGTACATTTGGCAATAAGCCGGGAGGGCGCGCGTATTCAGCTATCTTTAAAAATTGATATTTCGTTAAGGGGATGCTGGAGCCGTCTGTATTACCGACTGTATTATTAACCTGCATTTTTGACGTTTTTGTTTCTGTCGAATTTCTTCGTAGTAGTTTCACAGAATAAAAATTCCTTTTCCATGATTAAACTGTACATGCTAATGTATTTGTCTTGCTGCTGTATTTAGTGTTTAAAGCTGAAAAAAAAATAAAAAATTACCAGCGACAAGTACATTAGCATGTATAATTTAATCGTGGAAAAGGAATTTTTTTCTGTGTGAAAACACTTCTTCGCGGACAGGAACAAAAACGTCAAAAACGCTAGTTTTATTGGTAATACAGGCGGCTCCAGCATCCTCTTACGGATCTGTATATCGACTTAAACGCAATAATTTTTAACAATTACTTTTTTCCTCGTTTATAAATGTGAAAATCATTTTCCAGGATTAAAGCATATGCATTATAATACGTGTCTATGAGGTGAAATTTATGTTGAGAACGAAAAAAATTGTTTAAATTGAA